TTCCCTGCAGGGTTGCAGGGTGGAGCTGCAGTTTTCCCATTGTTGTGGCCATGTACAGAGGGGCAGATATGCAATGCAGTGGATTCAGTTATTTTCAGGGTTCGAAATACAGGGGAGGCTTGCGGGGGCTGAGCCCCCGCATAAAAGGTCAGAACCCCCAGCCTGCCCCGTGCCTTTCAGAGCAGCTCGGGCAGCAGTGGCTCCTTCCGTCCTCTGGCTGCCACCGCCACAGACCCCCCCAAGAGTCGGAGTGTAATTTGAACCCTGGTTACGTTAAAACTTCCCCCGGTCATGAACAGGAAAGGTGTCTCCCATTGTTACTGTGTTTTGCAGTGAGCCGCCGGCTATCATCCCAATTCGAATGAGTGTGTGCATGTGTGTGTGTGTGTGTGTGTGCGTGCACACGCGCGCACGTGCGTGAAGATTTTACTCTAGGAAAACTCCATTTTACTGGCACACGTCCTCCTTTCTTGTGCACCCGAGGCCCCTTTACTGTCCTGGGAGCAGCATCCCTGGTCCACGGTAGAATTTGGGTCTTGGACTGGTTCTGTAGATCCCTTGGGTGAGGCATGCATGATGCCAGCAGCAGCCTGAGGAGCAGATCATTTCAGTGTCAACTATTCTGAGTTGCATTCTTTTTTCTATTGGAAGAGAAATCATACGATTTTAACCAGACAAACGTGGTGTTTAATTTGCATGTAGAATCATAGAAAATTTGGGTCGGAAGGGACCTCAGGAGGTCACATCTAGTCCAATCCCCTGCTCCAAGTAGGACCATCCTCAACTACATCATCCCAGCCAAGGCTTTGTCTAGCCAGGTCTTAAAAACTTCCAAGGATAGAGAGTCCACAACCTCTCTGGGTAACCTGTTTCAGTGCTTTACTAACTTTCTAGTGAGAAAGTTTTTTTCCTTTTATGTAATCTAAACTTCCCTTGCTGCAACTTGAGACCCTTGCTCCTCGTTCTGTCATCTGTCACCACTGAGAACAGTACAGCTCCGTCCACTTTGTACCACCCTTCAGGTAGTTGGAGGCTGCTATTAAATCTTCTATCTGTCTTCTCTTCTTCAGACTAAATGTAGGTCAGGGCCAAGCCCTCTGCCAGGCTAATTATTGTTTCTCATTTCTTGTGAGGGCAGGGAAAGATTTGTTTTATGGAGGAAGAAACAGGAGAAGCTAAATATCCTCTCCTCCCCACTTTTTTTTAAATATACATCTGATTTCCAACCTGTTTCTAGGCTGGAAATCAAACTGTATATTTCCAGCATGTCTGGCTGGGCAGGGGGACTGGAGCGCCTGCCAGTCCCCACTGTTGATTTGCAAAATGTACCTCAGTCGAAGTGAGGTAGGAACTTGCTAAAACTTTTTCTGACTTTTGAGAGTGTGAGTGGGTGTGAGATCCTTTGTTTCCAGGGGCTGTGGGAAATTGAACTTTTTGCACTTCACTGACTGCCCCTTGTTCAGGGTAGGACAGACCCTGCTTTCCTGTTAGATTCACATGCACTTTTCTCCCTTGAGATTTAAGTAAGTCCCCAAACTCCCCATCACCTGGGCCCTCTCCAGTTTCACCCAGAGTCCAATCTTGGCCTGTTCTTGCTGAAAAAATTGAAATTGTAGGCCTGAAGCATGGGCATGTCCTGGAATCAGTATCAATCCAAATTTTCCTCCTCCTCCTCTACTCCTGACTTCTCTTTCTTGCTGGCCTATTGATCGGATCTGGAAACGACATTTATGCTCATGTCCCTGAAAAGCCACCAGAAAGGCAAGGGCATTGTATAACCAAAAAGGTGGGGAAGGTATGCACTCCAAGCCAGCACTGCATGCATTTTCACAGAGAGCAAGAGCATGGAGGGGAGGGTCTGTGAGATGAAAGCCTACGGCAAATGTGAAAGGTGTAAAGAGTAAGGTCAGCTTCAGGGTCAGTGTGTGGGATGAGGTCTGAGCTGATAGTGCATTGCAAAGCAGCAATAAAAGCATCTCCCCAAGCTGGAAAGCCTGATGTTTGCTGTCACTTCTCTGTATCCATATGCTGACACCACTGAAATCAGCTACTGTATTTCTTTGTATACCACACACCCTCAAATATAAGTCACATCTTGTTTTTGAAAGGCAGAATGAAAGAAAACAGGATCTTTCCTTGTAGTCAGTATCTGAGTAGCAACAGCTAGGGAGCAGGCCCTGCACGCTGTTTTGCTCCCTGTGTTGATTGTATTTTCACTTGTGTCCCTCCTGGAAGAAGTGGTTCTTACCGTATTTCTCACACATAATATACACTGCAATTTCCAGTGGCTGGCATTTAAGAATAAAGGTGTTGTATGCTAGAAAATATGGTATTTTAAAATAGATGCAGAGTCAAGCCTGCGAGCTGGACAGGAAGGCGTCACACCAAGAGCTGGGGAATTCTGCCTTTCTTTTCCTTCCAGAAGATCTTGCCAAGTTTGGAAAGGACGTGTAGACCAGGGAGGCACATGTAATGAGTTAGATGAGGGCACAGCATTTCTTTTGGCCAGTGCACCTTCTTATCCATTGCTTCACATGTGTTTGAGATGCAAAACTGTCTCTTCTGGTCCGGCCCTGCTTAAAATGGGCTCTGGGAGAACCTCACTGTGGCAGGCAGCAGCCCCATCGAGTCTCTGCTGTGTTCAGCGCAGTCAGCTCCTCCACCTCCTTACTGCTCTGGCTACTCCCTACTCCAGCTCATATATGACCAGATGACAGATGCCCTCTCACCCTGAGTGATGGTTTGTGCATAGCTGTTGTGCCCGAGAAAGCAGTGCAGGGGCCAGGCGGCAAGCAGGGTGTTGCAGTTAGGCACCTCGCTCATGGTGCCAGACCTTTCCTGGGTGGGGGTGACTTCTCTCTGGCTGCTGGTTGTACTGTGCTACCTGGCATGCTGATGGGACCGTGCAAGTGGGGCTCTGTTCACCCCTGCCTGCCTGCTTTTACCTGGTTGGGGGTGGAGGCTGTGGCCTCACAGAAACTGTCCTCACCCTGCCCCATTTCTATCTGCAGCACAGCGAGGGAGCAAGGGGGCATCTTTTACCCACACCCTCTTGCAGTGGGTGAGAGCCATGCTTACCTGTAATCCTGTAGAGACCTCTGAAGTTGGTTTCCTAAGCAATTCCATGCGAAGATTGGGCTCCTATTAATGGGGTGAATAAATATGCTCCCGAGCACAATTTCACTGGTGAAACTTCACGTATTGCAAAGACGTGATAGACCCCCAACAGAAACAACCAGACTTCCTTTCTGAGCGAGCCTTGCAGGAAGCACGTGGGCTAGGGACAGAAATTACACATTAAACCAGCATAAGTGATTGGAAACCGATTCAAATCTGTAACACAACAGAAGTTCAGTGCACATAAACCACTTTCAAAATGGCTGAAACCAGCGTACGATAAACCTGGATGGATGTAGTATCAAACTTAACTAATTTAGGTTAAATTGGTTTATTGAACTTCTGTCCCAGATCCCCTCCACATTCAAGCCATCTGCTCCAGCAGACCAGGGAGGCATACTCTAGCATCCCCTGGCTTCTGGCCTGGGCCACTGCAGGCATGTGGCTGCATTTCTGGAATGAAAAGTTAATGTCTGTTCACTTGCTTATCAGTTCAATCTGCGCATCTTAGATTAACTTGTGGAGATGGAATTGATTCGGCCTCAGGCTTTTTGACTGTCTGTACTTAGCCATGGAGGTTAGCTTGCCTCACTGGTGCTTAGGTTCCTAGGACCCTGTGCCTCAGATGTGATTTTATTAAATGTTGTTTTCACTGATTCCTGGGGCGGGAGCTGAAGCAGAAGCCTCAGTTCAATGCAGCACTTAAGTGCATGTTTAAAGCAAAGCACTTAAGCCAGGGCTTAAGTCTCATTGACTGCATTGCTCATGTCCACGTGCCTGATTCAAAGCCCTTGAGTCAATAGAACGATTCCTGGTGACTCCAGTGGGGTCTGCGCAAATTGAATGGGCTTCAGGCACGTGCTTAAAGTGTGCAATGGAGGCCAGAGCCAGGTGACCTGAGAGGCCAGAGGCACTGTTCCTTATCAAACAGACCTGTGTTAGTCCTTCCCCAGTTGCAGTCTTTTTAGGCATATCTGCTTACTGCTCTCCAGAACAGCCATCAGCAGAAGCTAATTTGCACACGTTGCTAATAGCCAGTGTTTTCACCGACAGATGCAAAAGGCTGGGTTGTGTTCGGGGGGGGGGGGCAAACAGAAGCTGGTGGTAACTCACTTGAAAATTTGGCCCCTGACGTCTTCTAATTCTTTTCAATCACATTGGCCTGACTGAGCAGGGGAGGCAGCAGCCCCTTTGCAGGCAAAATTGACACCGCTGGGTGACACTCAGAGCTGACTTGCAGCAAGGGGTCAAAGAGCCCGACCTAGCCCATTTGGATCTGGATAGGTGCTGTCTGTGCAGAGCACAGGGGAAAAAAAATCCCAGTTGCCCGTCACTGTCTAAATTTAGGCCGTTGTTCATCTGGGTTCCACGGCTCCCACTTGTCATCAGCCGGAGTGACAGAATATGAAAAATTAATTTCCGAGGTGGGAAATTGCTAATAATGTGTTTGCAGCCGGGGCGGGGAGCAGAGGCGGGGATGCAGTACAGACACATTTGGGTTTTCTTAATAAAATGTCAGCGCAGAGCCTGCTCTGCTTCCCCTGAGCACGTCCTATTAGTTGAGACAACATCTTGCAGCTGCCCTCGCCTATTAGTGTGGCTGCGTCCAGGTGCAAGGAGCTCTCTCGTTGCTGTGCAGATCACCTGCCGGGCCCTAATTGACCGCACGGCAGGCCCTGCTGGGGGCTCTCGGGGCTGGCGTGTGTGCAGCATGCCTGATTGCAGCACCATGCGGTTCAGGGAAGTGGCAGGGGTGGGAAGGAGCTCAGGGGAGAGGGAGCCTAAGAGAAGCCTGGGTGAGCTGCTGTGAGAGCTGCTCTCTGAGCTGGGGGACATGCCATTTTGGGCACCTGTCATTTACCTCTCTGTTTGTTTGTCAACAGGATACACACCCACTGGGATTTAAACATCTCCTTCCGAGAGACCTCTTGCAGGTACCATTTTGGGGCACCCTCTTTGTATGGTAGGCTAAGAGTTTATGATGCATGCTACTGGTGTTTGGATGCTGTTAGACATGAAAGAATATTCCTGCCTGTCATTCTGTAGCTTTAGCTCTGTCCCTTTTTCTCTCCCTCCCTCTCTGTTGAGATCTGTTTTAGTTTTTCCGTTCCCTTTTGTTTTGGGGGAGGAGGGCTTTAAGCAACCTCTCCTCTTGGAGAAGCTGGGGAGTGCAGCCAGTCCTGTCTGGGGACCCAGTGCTTGTTTTCTGAATATGTCTTTTCTGCTCTGTGTTTTCTGAGAATGGAAAATTATCATGGCCCAGATATTTGAAGCTTGCTAGGTGCTGCTCCACTTACCACTGCACCAGCCTGCTGATCTGGAAGGATACATCTTGTTTGCAAACTGACTTTGGCACTTGAGTGCTTAGGTGTCACTGGAATTCAGTAGGGCTTAGGCTCCTGAGTGAGTCTGGTGCCACAGCACTGAGCAGAATATTGCCTAAGTGCCTCTAAAACACCCTGGGCCCATGTCTATAAATGACAATCATCATTTGATGTGGGAGGGAGCTTGGTTGTTCAGGCAGTATCACTGATGCCCAAATCTTGCAAACAGTTGTGCATGTGAGTAGTCCTGTCCAAATCAATGGGATTAGTTCTGTGCATAATTTTGGGCATGTCTGTAAGCATGTGCAGGGGCAGAGCAAAAGCTGAGAGAGGGAAATTACCTTAAATGCATGAAAATAAAAAATCTAGACCCCCCTCCACTGTCACCTTAAATGACAGGCATTTTAACAAAGTAGAAATAAGAGAAAAGCAGCAGAAGCCTGAACTGAGAGAAAGATTGAAGAAGTTGCCAGGCCAAAGCAGAACAGTTTAATTTTTTTAAGTGTGCCTTGACCAAATATCTAAAGAACTGGGAATCCAAACAGTACAAGCAGCTAATCATTGCAATGCTCTGCACAAATTAGAAGATTCCTTCTTGACTCCTGATGTCTTGAAGCATGACATTTAACTATCTTTTCTCTTAATATGAGCAATAGAATTGTGTGTGTTATTACTGGTTATGACATATTCCCAGTCCCTTTAAAAATCTAGCTATGGTATTTGCCTCAAAAGTGAGAAGTGAAGAATGCTTGTGTTCATTTCTGTTTTACATGAAACTCAGTTCCAGCTAAACACTTGAACGTGTTTTGTGCTATGTGGTTTGTTAAGAAGAGATAAATCATTGTATGTGCCCAGTAAACATCAGGTTTTCCTGTGAAACTCCATGGGAAGGCAAGGCAGAAGGAGGTATGGGTGTTCCAGGAGAATGCTGATGGCGCCCAAGTGGAGTGAAGCCAGACTCTGGCACTGGTTTAAATCCAGAATAATGGGTACTTGTACATGTGACAATGTTACCATGTACACATGATGAAAATTTCCCTTTGTGTGGCTTAATGGCATCACATGCTATGCGTATGCAAGTTTGGGGGGATTTAAATGAGATTACATCAGGATGTGGTTTAGTTGGTGAAAATGCAGTTGAGTTTGCAATGTTGCAACTTGGAACACCGCAGCCATTCATCTGTTGGCTCATTCTCCTCTGCCAAAAAAAAGGATCAGGCCCCTTGACCATTCTGCCTTCAGTAGGCAACTGTGGCCACCAGGACAATGATGTGTGTATACAGTGATGGAAAAATAAAACCCACTGTTTCCATTAAAAACTCACTGTTTCAATTTAGGGGGCATAGAATGCAACCCTGAAGGACTGAACTCCTGTCACATATACAAGCGCCCAACTTGATCAGAGTTGGTGGAGTTACTCTGGATTGACACTGGTGGTGTGTGAGAGCAGAATTTGGCAAGCAGCATCTCAACATTTTATTGTCTGAGTATCAATTTGCAAATAACAGTTCACTGATCACTGCTTGGAGGCAATGGCTTGCTGTGCTCTCTTCAGTATTCCTTGGTTCTAGAGCAAGAAGAACGACAAGAAAGTATGTTTGTGTATATATTTGTGGTAGTGTACAACGTGGTAGGCACTTTCCAAACACTGGAGAAAACTAATCTATTCTGGGAGGAGCTCCCAGTCCATAGACAAGTGTACGTGAATAATTTATCTGCTCATTTTTGCGACTAGGATTGTACGAATAAGACTCAGTGCACCCAGGCGTGGTGTTTACCCAAGAGGGTGCAGTGTAACAGAGCTTAGAAAAGATCTAAGTTTCACTATTGCAACGGATTTGGACGTTTCTCTGTTTCATCTACAAGCTTTAGATTGTTTTGCGAAATGTAAACATACCCGACAGCACGAGTGTGTGTTAGAAATGACTTCCAACTCGATCACCAGCCCTACAAACATGGCTCGAGTGAATGCTGCTCCTCTGCTGTAAGTCTCCCATAAAAGCTTGTGCCTGGAGCGGGCTGGGCGATGGAAGCTCTTAGGAGAATGAGTGCATCCCTTTTTTTTTTAAAACCTTTCTGAGATTCAAAGCAGAGTGTTTGGGCTAGAGATGTTTGTGTCTGAAGGTTCAGACTAGATGACGCTCTATGGAGTGATAGCCTGGTTGATTCGGGCTCTGTTTCAGCACAGCTGTTAGGTATGTGTGTAGATCCATCATGTGTTCATCTACTTTGCTGGGCAGATCCCCAGGAAGAGTGCTGGAAATAGTGCGGATCAAGATACATGAAATTCATTGTTAATTCCCACTCCACTAAGCACTGTTGAAGGCTGTAGGATTGATTGGACTTTTTAAAGTCCACACAGTGTCTAAAAAAAAAAAAAATCCACTCTGTGAATTTTAGGAGCATCAACCCACACTCCAAATTGGTGAATTTCTCAGAGCCAGTCTCCCAAGCAGACCTCCAAAACTCCCATTGAAACCAACTGGAGTTGCAGGCATGGATGGCTTTCAGGATGAAGCCCCTGCTTGGTTTTGTTAAGCTTATGGGTGTCAGAAATTCAAAGGAATCTTCTAGGGAGACTTGCTTGATAAATCTTAGCCTGGAAGTGAAATTTTTACGGCTCAGTTATAAAATCCTAAGAAGACAGAGGTTTATCATGGAAGTGCTGACAGAAACCTTAACTAATAGCCATGCGAACAACAATTCTGCAGCCTAACACAGGTGCAACGAAGGGTGCACACACCTTTGGAAATTAAAATTCCCACCTTAAAAAAAATTGCTTTTGAAACTGCAATGCAAAGGATAAAATAATGGCTCCTTTTTTTCTCTCGGCAAGGAAGTTTCTTTGACAACCCATGTTTAACTGTTTTGTTCCCTTCAGCTGTCTCCTGGCTAAGACTTAGGCAGTTCAGACTATGGCAGGTCTACAGTGAGAATACAGGTTTTGTTACTGCAGATCAAACAGCAAGCCCAATTACCTGCAGTAGTGGGCCACCCTAATACATCAGAAGAAAGCAGCCAATCTCATGTAATGTAGCAAACTAATTGTACAGGGCTGAATAGGTAGAAAGGAAAATTCCTCCCTGAATCCCTCTGGCAACCAGCTGATTAGATGAAACATGAGACTTCTTGTCCATTTTTAACAACCGTTTCCCAGTAACAAACATTTAGAAGGACATTGCATAGTAGAAAGGGGCCAAATTTGGTTTCACGTCTAATAGCGAATTCTTTTAAAACTCATTCAGTTTTGAACAACAACAAGAAATGCTTAATCACTTATGCAGGCCCTACACAAAGTGATGTATTTCTGGTGTCATAGGTAAGTGACCTGAGCTTGTCACCCGGCTGTGACATGGCAATTAGATACAGCAGTCATTAGTGACGTAGCTTGATTGTATCCTTGTTTCTTGAAATGTAGCCTGGGTGTGAGTTTTAACTAAACAGACAGTCCATTATCACCATTCGTGACAAAAGGAGATCCATGCCAGAGAGCAAAATCTGTGAAGGGAGTCCCTTTAAAATGAATGTGGTTAGCATATCTACTTGTAAACTCGCAGAAAATCTGTCCCATGCTCAAACAGAAGGGCTGTCATTTTGGGGAAGATATATCACATGCTTTGCCCGCAGCACAAACAGAGGTTGAATCCCTGCCTTCTGTGTAAAACTCACCCAAGAGTAACTGTTGTGCCATTACTGGCCATGGACCCTAGCCCTGGCCATCAGTGGCAAGGCAACTGGGTCCATTGTGAAGTGGAAGGCAGCTTAGCCAGTTTTTGCACGTCCTCTGTAGGCAGTTTGCCTGCACCAATTCTTTTGGGCACAAGGAGTCCATGCTCTGATAGGCTGGATTTATCTGTCAGCAGTTCCTGCTGGTAGATCACTAGTCCCCAGCTGTCACAGGGGACGGGACTAGGAGAATGACCTCCAACTGCAGCCAAGCAAATTTAGGCTGGAGATGAGGAGGAACTTTCTGACTACGAGGGTGGTCCAGCATTGGAACAGGCTGCCCAGAGAGGTTGTGGAGTCTCCATCCCTGGAAGCGTTCAAGAGCAGGTTGGACAGGCACTTGGTGGTTTAGGTAGGGATGATCCTGCCCTGAGCAGGAGGCTGGGTGACCTCATGAGTTCCCTTCAAAGCCCTACTTTCCTATGAGGTCCTAAGATCTTCCATGGGGTTGGAAGCTCCCTCCTGGCACTGCTGTTTTGGCTTTGCTGTGCAGCGTAGCAGCATGCTGGGGGACTGAGGCAGAAAAGAACTGAGCTTCCCTTTCTCCAGGGCCCAGTCGCCCTAATGCTGCCCTCTACCCACTTCTCGGTCCCCCTTGCACATCATCACTTCCCCTGCCTGCCCTCACACACATCCCCACATCCTCCTGCACTCTTGCTCACCCTCTTGCCCTCAGCTTACATGCCCACTTTCCCTCTGCGCTTGACTTTGCCCAGTGCTGTTTGGGGAAGTTGAAGGGGAAACGCTCAGTTCCAGTGGAGTTTCTGGCCCTGTCTGTGGCCCTGACTCAGTGCCCGGCAGCGCTCGGAGGAAGCCTGCCGCACTGCCATGTGTGCGCTGCGTTGTCTTATTTGTGCAGCACAGCCCCTGAGCCAACTAGCTCC